AATAAGAGAGTTGGTCCCAGACAGCTTCTGCTGTGGACCCTGCAGCACAAACCCCTATGGGACTAGAGAACATAAGTAGCCGTCTGCCTTCTTGAAATGGGCAACAGGACGACAAGGCAAGAATGAAACACAAATCAATATTTCAATAAATTATCCTGCTGCAGCAGCCAGATGACTTTGGCTACCAAGAGGGGCTGGGAAGCCAGGCTGACCTTGGGGACCCCAGCATCTGGGAGAGAGGAGGCGTTGGCCAGTGTTAGTCCAGTATGGAAAGCTGTAAGGAGGAGCTGCCCTCCTGAGGACCTTTATTTCAGGGCTCTCAACCTGGTGGCCTGGGAGATGTGTTTTGTTTTGTACACATAACTTATTTTCATTTGAGCCAACATTTACTATGAGTAGGCTTCTTGGTAAAATTCAGATTTAAAGGTTGGCCTCAGCAGTCCAGTCTAGCAACTCTAGCCTCTGTTCTCACATGCCAGCCATCGGTGGCGCTGTCACTGCCCCTTCCGCTGTGCATGGGCTCCTTGATTTGCTCCAGTCTCCGCTCCTCCCTACCGCCCCCACTTTCTTAATCATAATAGGAAAATATTGCTCAGTATCTTCACCCCTTTTAAACTGGCAAAAGGAAAAAAAGAGAGAGACTTATTTTTCTTACAACCCCCCTGCCTCACTGACTCACATCACCCACCTTGACCCTATAGGCATTTGGGTTTGCAACACCTTCCCAGCACTTTGCACAAACCCACCCACGGAACACCTCTCTGTGTGTCCCCAGCCTGCTCCTTCTCCGTGTTTCAGCCTGGCTCCCACTTGTGGCTCTGTCCCTCACCCATGGCCCTGACACGGGTGTGTCTTTCGGGCTGGACACTTGACTCCTCCTCAAAGATATGGCCAGAGCTCTTCTCCCACTGGTGTGGGATGTAGCTGGAACCTGGACCAGCCACCACCTTTGTCTGCCAGCCAGTGCCCTTGACCGAAGTTTCCATGGTCCCCACAGAGGAGGAAGTGCAGGAAGGTCAGGACTCTCAGCTGCAAGTGACAATAATACAGCTCAAGTCAACTTTCACAAGGAGGAATTTCCTGACACACATAAATAAGATGCATAACTGCGGCGACCCCGCCTCCTGGTATTCAAGTTGCTCCCTTCAAGTGTGGGCAGGACCCAGATTCAGTTGTAAACAGACTGGCTTCTGTCTTGGATGTGTGCTCTGTTCTGTCTCTCTGATCACTCGTACTGAGGGAAGTGAGCTGCTGTGTGTGGAGAGACCCATATGGTGTGGCACGGACTCCTCAGTCCAGCAGCTCTTGAGGAACTGAGTCTCGCCAGCAGTCATGTGAGTGCGCATGGGCACTGGTCCTCCCCCAAGAGAGCCTGCAGATGAAGCCACAGTCTCTGTCCTCAGCTGGCCTGCCATCTCATGACACAGGTGCCTATCTCAGTTGTTTTCAGATTCCTGACTCATAGAAACCATAGATAATAAGTGCTTGGGGGTTTTGTAGCCTGTGAGTTTTGATATAACTTGTTCTATAGTGATGGACAGCAAACAAACCTGTGGGTAGGTTGGTCTCAGGCCTGGGTGAACCAGGTATTCATGTGAGGACAACAGTCAACCTCTCTCCAGCCAGGGGCCCTGCTCTGTTCTGCGTGGGCTTCTTCCTCAGGTGAGGTCTCCTCCCATGGTGAGAGAGGGGCCAGCCACTCCAGGCTCACAGTCTCACACCTTTCCAGCTCCTTAGCCCACTCTGGTTGGTGTCACCTGAACCTTCATGGTGCCTGGAAGATGCAGAGCCAGGAGTGGCCAGGCCTGAGCCCTCCCCCCTGAGCCTGTGGTTGGACCCAGATTAACAGAGCGGACTGGGCTGCTGCTGTCAGAAGACCAAAGGCAGAGGTCACTGCAGCCCTCCAGGGCATTGGCGGGGACCAGACGAGAATAGTCTCAACGTGTGAAACTTAGAATCCAGAGGGCAGGCGAGGACATCAGGGAGAATAATCTGACATTTGGGCTGGAACACATGGCCCTGGAGGAGGCAAGGCACCTTTCTCTGGAAGGGACCTAGCAAGGCTGCTGAGCTACATCACAGGCCTTGTGAAGCAGGAGTAGCAATCCAGGGGGCTGTGCAGCCAGCCTAGATGAAGTGGTCATCATTGGCCTTCGTGATTGTTACCGAACTCAAGGGGTTCGCCGCTTGGGGTGCTCTGTTCAAGACCAAGACATGGTTGTCTCAAGGTCATTTTATTTTCTTGCAGCAAGTAAAGGAGACCAGCTTCACTTCCAAAACTCTGTCTCCCCCAAGGGAGGCTTAGCCAGTGCCTATATACACTGTTTGGTCATTTACACATTGATTTCTTTTTTGTAGTTATCTACATTTATCTGGTTGAGTGTTTATCAAGCTCATCCTGTTTACAGCTGCATCTGCAAAATACAGTACTACATTTTAACATTTAACAAGAGTAACATTTAGAAATAACATTTAGAACTGCCCAGACCTTGAGGCCTTGTCGTATCTAACATGACAATCCTCTGATTGGGGCTTGGGGCTGGCAATCTTAAATTCTAGTAGGGTACAACCATAACACCCCAAACTCTAGCAACAAATTCAATCCACCCACAAGAGTCCTTCTCATTCCTCCTAAAGCTCATTCCCTAGAAAGGAAATCCTTTCACTTGGTTCCTCCTTCAGAGTTCTGACCTCGAGGTTTTCTGGAGGCAGCTACCATCTGGCAGGGCCTCTGGCTGACCTATGAGGGTCTGGCTGGAATGGGGTACAGATTCTGTTCTATTCCTCAGGCCCTCCTGTGTCAGCCAAGGTGGGTGAGGTTGTGCTGCAGAAATAATCTCCATGTTCCAGCAGTTTACAACAAAGATTTATTTCCTGCTCACGCTATATGTTTACTGTGAGTTGACAGAGAACTCTGGTCCTGTTGTCACTCAGGGCCTGGGTGACAGAGCAGCTACCATCTCAGTATTGCTGGTTCACCTGCCAGAGAGGAGAAACTTCTGGAAGTTCTCATGGGACTAAGTAAATGGAGACACACTTCACCTTTGTTCACCGCGTACTGGTGAGAGCCAGTCACATGCTCCCTTCTATCAGGAGGGTGCCGGGAAATGCACCTCCCTTCCCCTTCTCCAGCTTCCTTGGGGCTGTCCACCTCTTTGCCACTGTCTAGCAGGTCCTAGTCACCAGACCTCTCACTCCTGTCTGTGACTTACTTCATTAAGACCCATTATAGCTGTTTATAACAATCTCATCTGCCAGGCACAGCTGGCTGTGTGCATGGCACCTGGGAACTGATCTGCCATCTTGTAAGTCACTGACCTGGATAAGTCACAAGACTCCTGGTAATGACCAGTGCCTCCCTGGCCTGGAATCATTCTTCCTTCTGTGAAACGCCCTGGCTTCTCAACAATACCCTAGATGTCATCCGCACAAGGAGAGATGTGTGGCTATGCTTGATGGATATATTTATGGGAGAAAAGAAACAGAATGCCTGCACATGTCCACCGAAGAATGCGTATCTCTCTTCTTTACAGACAGATATATCTTTAAAGGGGAAAAAAGCAGCCCTAGCCAAGTAGCTCAGTTGGTTAGAGTATTGTCCCAATACGCCAAGGGTATATCTGGCCAGGGTATATACAAGAAGCAACCGATAAATGCATAAAGTGGAAAAACAAATCTCTCTCAAATCAATCAATCAATTTAAAAAAGGGAAAAAAGCATACCTAGGACTCTTAGCTTGGGAGAGCACTGTGGTGATGAGGAGTGTGTGGTAAAAGCAAAAATGGAAATGCGTAAGGAGGACTGAAAGAGAAAGGGAAGCGGCCACCTGTAGTAGCCTCCAGTCTGAGAGGCTATGCTGCATGTTTTCTTGGGGAAGCAGTTTAGGCCAGGGGATTGAATACAGACTTTGGTTTTAGGCTTCCTGGGTTCGGATTTCAACTCTGTTTTCTAGCTGTGTAACCTGGGGAAGTACTTGACTTCTCCCAGCCTCAGTTTTCCTCTTCTCAGGATGATTGTGAAGCCTAAATGGCAATGCCACGGTGCAAGCGTGGCCAGCCATGGCTATCAGGTATGTGTCNGTACTTGACTTCTCCCAGCCTCAGTTTTCCTCTTCTCAGGATGATTGTGAAGCCTAAATGGCAATGCCACGGTGCAAGCGTGGCCAGCCGTGGCTATCAGGTATGTGTCACCACGTAAACGTCACTTGACTGCTCTTCTCGGTGGCTCCTGAAGGAATTGGCTCTGTGCCCCTGTTGTTACTGGGGCTCCTTTGCTGTATCTGCTGTATCTTTTCCCCTCTATGGTGTTNCACCACGTAAACGTCACTTGACTGCTCTTCTCGGTGGCTCCTGAAGGAATCGGCTCTGTGCCCCTGTTGTTACTGGGGCTCTTTGCTGTATCTGCTGTATCTTTTCCCCTCTATGGTGTTGTTTTTCTGTAAATGTCTTTAAACAGGGTGAAAACATAGGGTTTTCTCCCCTTCTCTGGGCTGGCACTCCACATTGGAAGTTCTTTCCCCCCACCCTGGACATTGCCCAAATTGTGAGCTCTTCAGGGTGCTGTCCGCATGGCATTTGCCTCCTGTTCAGCACCTGCTCACCAGAGGTACCTGATAGAATGCAGGAGCCCTGTAAATGGAGTAGGCTGAATGGACTCTTTGAGGCCTTTAGATGACCTCAGAGCTTTGCTTCCACATCTCACCTGAAAACTGCACAATGACTTTGCGTGGAAATNGGACTCTTTGAGGCCTTTAGATGACCTCAGAGCTTTGCTTCCACATCTCACAATGTGGAAAACTGCACAATGACTTTGCGTGGAAACTCATTGGGGATCCAAGAATGGAGCCAAGTGGAAAGCAGATCCTGAGAGGACTGGGCAGGGGCCATTGTGCCACCTAGACCAGGCTCCCAGTGGATGGGGTCTGTCAACACTGCGGCCTGCTCAGCCCCCCAGCTAGTCCACAAGACACTAACCCCTCTTCCGTCTCTCCTTCCCTGCAGTCCATGAGCCTTATCGAGATTGGGAACCCCTCTCAGAGCCTGGAGAATGTCTGCCGTTGGGCCTACCTCCAGCAGAAGCCGGACACAGGCCACGATGAATACCACGATCATGCCATCTTCCTCACACGGCAGGACTTCGGGCCCTCAGGGATGCAAGGTGAGCTTGCTCCTGCGAGTGTTCAGAAAGGAGAGTGGCTGGCCATCGGCCCCTGGCCCTGTAAGGGTCCTGGAAGCCTGGGCCCAGGCCAGGGAAGGGGGGCAGGGCAGGGGGGCTATGGCCGCCTGAGCCCAGGAAGAGCATGGACCAGTGCTAGTGACCCCTGGCTCTCAAAAACCACCAGGGCCTCTACCAGTTCCCCCAGGAAACCACATCCCCCAGGGGGAACGGTGAAGACCAGAGGTGGTAAAGTAGGTGGAGTTGGGCTAGCTGCCCAGACACCAGATGGAACCTGAGGCGGAGTTTCCAAGTTGTTTGTTGCCCCCAGTTTTTAAAAAACAAATCTGAATAAGATTTCATCCATTAAAACTTTAGAGATTTTACTTAAAATATCGGAACTATGTAAAACGGACAGATCTAAAAGAAGAAATTCGCAAGTCTACAATCATAGTTGAAGATCTTAATGTATTTTTCTTAGTAATGAAAAGAACAATAGATAAGAAGCCTACTAAGGATACAGAAGATCTGAATTAAACAAATGGACCTAATTGATATATGTAAAATACTACACCAAACAAATTGAGATACCCCATCTTTATGAGCACCCATGAAAACAGACCCAAACAGAATATGCTGGGCCATAGGGTAGTCTCAACAAAATGCAAAAGGTCGAAATCACACAGAATATGTGCCCTGACCAGACTGGAAAAGAAAGATAACTTGAAAAATATGTATGTCTAGAAATTAAATAATATACTCATAAATAATTCATGATTCAAAGAAGAAATAACAGTAGAAATTAGAATATATTTTTAAACTGAATGGTAATGACAATATGACATGAAAGCTTGTGGCTGTAAATAACACAATGATTAGATTGATGTTTGCAGTCTTAGGGCATTTATTCAAAAAAAGGGGCTGAAAAATTAATCATAGAAACATCTGTCTCAAGAAATGTGAAAAAAAAATCAAACTAAACTCAACAAAAATAGAAGGAAGGAAATTATAAAGGTAAGAGTTAAAATTAAAAACAATAGTGCAGTAGAGAAAATAAATAAAACTAAAATTTGCTTCTTTGAAAAACATGGGTTAAAACAGAAAAGCCCCTAGCAATACTAATTTTTAAAAAGAAAAACTTCAAATTTACTAAAATCACAAATGTAAAAGGACATCATTACAAATTTTCCTTTAAAAAGATAAGATAATGAGAAGGCATTTTGAACAGCTTTGCATCAATAAATTTAGATGAAAGGTATAAAGTCCTTGACAAAACATACAATTTGAGAAAAAATAGAAAATCTGAATACTCATGTCAATTAAAGATGTTAAATTTGTAATTAAAAGCCTTCTTTCAAAGTTACTCCTGGACTTGATAGCTTTACCTAAGAATTCTTCCTAAATTCTAACGAAGAGTCATAACCAATCATATACAGACTCCCTCACAGTGAAAAAAGGACCATTTTTCCATCTAATTCTATGAGGCCTGCTAGCATTGAAACCAAAATCTAAGGACATTATAAAAGCAAAAGTACAGGCCACCCTCTCTGCTGACCACTTGCCCATATTTGCATTATTAGGGAGACTCTCCAGTGAGGCTGGTCAGGCCAAGAAGATTCGTTTCTGTTAATAAACCATCTCTGGCTCTGGAGTGGCTCCCTTTCAGCACCACACAGGGACACAGGTGGGAACAGGAAATGTGACTCCAGTCCCACTGAGCACAGAACAAGGCTCCTAGTGGGTGTTGGTGTCTCTTCATTTTGAGGGGCTGCTCGCGCCCCTTCAAGAGCTGCAGCAGGGTGGCCAGCTGACTAATAGAGCACTCTGTCAGCCTCGTTGTCCTGGCGAGAGCTCTAATGGGGAGGAGAGCTGTTCAGTAGGAGAGGAGACTGTCCCATAGAATCGGAAACTTTTATATTAAGTGACCTCATCCTTCATTTAAAAATGCGAAAGGATGAACAGGTTGGAGTGACTAACGGAGATGTAGGGTCAGTTCATCTGGATGACAGCTGAGAAGCACAGCAAGGACTTACAGGCAGATGGTCTTTACACCCTGCACCCTCCACGGGAAGCCATGAAGATCTGGGGCCAGCACCCCACCCACCCTACCCTAGAAGAGAGTCTATATGTATGTTTTTTGGGGGGGGGTTGTTTTAAAAATTATCATATAATAAATTAGTTTTCCCCCCCTCAAAAGTATAAATAAATAAATAAAAATGTGAAAGGACAGCTAAGGGCACATTTCTATGCAAGGTTTACATACCAGATATTTAAAAAAAATATATTGGACCACATTGAAAAACAAAATCAGAAAACTGACTCCAGAGGAAACATAATTTAGAAAGTGAAAAAGAACTTTTTAAAAAGTAATATTCCCAGAATGTTTGAGAAAATACCCCCATAAGCCCAGAACAGGTTGCTAAGAAGAATTAGAGTACAAAAAAGAGTTTTTATGAAATTAAAGATGTTATGGGTAAAATAAAAATAGAAAATTCAAAAGCTGCAGTAAAAAGTCGAGAGCATCCAAAAAAGATTAAAAGATGAGAGAAAAGTTAAGAGATGTAGACAATTCAGGAGGTACAATATATATCTAAGATTTCCAGAAACAGAGAACAACAACTAAATAAAATAAGAGGGAAGACTGTAAAGAAAAAGATAAAGATATGTTTTCAAACCTTCAGATCATAGAGGCCCACATAATGCTAAGTAGGGTGAATACTTGCAGGAGGCACATTTCTATGCAAGGTTTACATTCACAGGACAGAGCGAAGATCTCTCAAGTTTTGCTCTGGGCAAAATATACTTGAAGATACAGATTTTCTGGTTTATTCCAAGGGAGAAAGACCGTGGTTAGATTCCTGTGCTTGTACAGACAAATCTAAAACCACACTTTCTTCCCATCTTCTCAATTCTTTTCTTTGGACAAATTGCCTTGGGATCTCCTCTGGGGCCTGAGGGAAGAGAGGCTCAATCAGGGTTCCCAGAGCTGGGGCCCCGGGCTTTGTGGGCCTCTCAAACCCCCAGGTGTCCTAGCAGAGGCCTCACTTTGCACAGGCAGCTTTGTTTGCAGTTGTTTATCTTGCCCAGGGCCAAATGGCAGGCCCCATTTTCTGGTTTTGCTGTTTTAGACAGGGTCTCGGCGTCAGTAGGTATGCAGTTGGTTCTATAGGCTCCCCTGGGACTTCTGAAGAAACCCAGAGGCAGGCTCAAGCCTGCAGGGCTCAGTGCTCCACCACAGGGCCCCCGCAGGCCTCCCACCCTCCTGGTTCCTCAGCCCTGCCCTTGCTTCCTGTTGGTCTCCACAGGGCCACACAGTGTCACTGGATTGGCAAAATGCACTGCATCTCCTCACTGTTGCCTGTGAATTCAGTGGGTCCTTCAAAGCCGCTTGACCGGATGGGGTAGCTGGAGGGTCACTGTGCATCTGTGCCAGGGGGGATGCGCCCTGCTACCACCACCTCTTCCCGCTCCCTGCCCTCCATGTCTGGTAGCACCTCCCCTCAGACCCCTGGAGGAGGGGACCCCTTTGGTAGGAATGTGCCTCAAAATCTTCTCAGCCAGAGCACAGATTAGCTGGCAGAGGGCTCTATGGGCCTTGTCATCTACGGCTGCATGCCCTCAGCCTACCTGGCACATCCTGTCTGCATGGCCAGCAGGGCAGTGTGGCACCTTGGTGATCATTGCCTGGCTCTGTCCTTGAACAGCTTTGAAGCCCACCCTCGCTGCTGCCCTCTGTGCCCTGTGGAAGTGGGTCTAGCTGGGGTCTTACAGGTCACCCAGCAAACTAGGAAGGTGGGAGGTGGTATGAAAGAGAATGGCAGGTGAGAGGGTGCCAAGGTGGCAGACAGTTCTCCCAGGTGAGACCTGGGCTTGGAAAATTGATGGGCAGAACTGAGGCCTGCTGCCCGGGGTGGGAGTCTCAGCTATGCCAGCCTGAAGCAGTTGACTCTGCTCACTTGGGGATGGTGGGGTCACTGGGAGCTGGAGCCACCCTTTGTCTCCTCCCAGGCTATGCTCCTGTCACCGGGATGTGCCACCCCGTCCGCAGTTGCACCCTGAACCACGAGGATGGCTTCTCCTCAGCGTTTGTGGTGGCCCACGAGACGGGCCATGTGTAAGTGGCCTCATAGTCCTGGTTGTCTAGGGAAGGTTGGGGCTCAAGGGGTCCCACTTCTCTGAGCCCTGAGAGGGACAAACCCATATGAGAAGCTCTAGAAAGTGATGGCTTGTCTTCCTGGCGCCCCACAGGGCAGGCCCAACATCCACTTTCTGTTGAGGAAACATAGCAAAGAAAGGGCCGAGTGGGTGCTGGGGGCCTCCCCTGATTACCCCATTTTACAGATGAATAAGTGAGGCTTTGAGGGAGGCTTGCCCAGAACAGAGAGCAAGAGGTGGGGCGTGGGTGCCCTAAGCACCACCTGAATCTTGGGGCTGGACAGACGCTGATGGGAAGCCTCACAGGGCCACTGGGCCTGTGCGGGGAATGGGCAGGGAAGGCACCCGGAGAGCTGGGCTGCACTGCCCCTGCCTCCACTGCATTCTCACGTCACAGCCTCGTGCCTTGGCGACAGGACACTGAGGGGCATGCTGCTGGATGCTGTCTCCCCAGCGTGCCCCTGGCTTTAAGACTCTACTGTGGAAATTCAGTATCACTTGGCTTAAGGCAGACCAGAACAGCAAAGGTCCAGAAGGGCCCAGTGGAGGGAGATTGGGGGCCCTCCCAGCATTTGGGTGGGGTAGAGCTGACAGGTCAGTGCAGCCAGAGGGTCCAGTGAGGCTGCCTTGGCTCCCTGAACAGGCTGGGCATGGAACATGACGGGCAGGGCAACCGCTGCGGCGACGAGGTACGGCTGGGCAGCATCATGGCACCCCTGGTGCAGGCAGCCTTCCACCGCTTCCACTGGTCCCGCTGCAGCCAGCAAGAGCTGAGCCGCTACCTGCAGTGAGTACCACCCCGTGCCCTCCAAGGACAACCTGAAGCCCTGAGTTCAGCTGTAGGAGGGGGCATGTCCCAGTGCGCCCGGGCCCAGCTTGAGCTCCCAGACCTTGGGCCCTCCAATTTGAGGCACAGGGGAGGGGAGAGGGAAAGAGCAGTGCAGCTCAGTGTGGGGAGATCCCACTGTTGGGGAGCAATGGGCACTTGGGATCTGAGCAAACCAGGTCCTGAGTAGTTTACACCAAGGAACAGAGATGCAGCAGGGAAACTGAGGCAGCACAGCAGAGAGCTAGGGTGTGCAGATAAGCCACCATCACAGCTCCAGAAGGGGCCTCAGCTGCCCCACAGGCTGGATGGCCAGTCCGGCTGCAGGCAGCTTGCAGTGCCCACATGTCCTCTCACAGCTCCTATGACTGCCTGCGGGATGACCCCTTCGCCCACGACTGGCCGGCACTGCCCCAGCTTCCCGGGCTGCACTACTCCATGAACGAGCAGTGCCGCTTCGACTTCGGCCTGGGCTACATGATGTGCACTGCGGTGAGTGTCGGAGCCGCACCCTGGGAGCAACATCTCCCTCTGCACCCACTCACACTCGGTGCCCACGCTCCCCATCTAGACTTGGTCCTGGGCAGGGAGCACACAGCTGGCAAGGGCTATGACCTTGGGATCAGCAAGGCATGGTGGGGGGCCTGGCGAGGCCCCTGTGTGGTCTGCAGAATTCAGGAGGGCTTCCCTGGGAAGAAGTGAGGTATAAAGGCCAGTGGGAGGACAGAGCATTCCAGAAGGCAGGAATCACATGCACAAAGGCCTAGAGGTGCAGGAACACAGCATGCAGAGGAGCAACCAATTGTTCCCCGGGGTTGAGTGCCAGGACAGCCATCAGCATCAACACTGGTCATCAAAATTGAGTGTCTGACTCAGTGCTCATCTCACCTCCATGTAGGAAGTAAGCAAAGTATTCCCACTTTACAGATGAGGAAATTTAAGCCCAGAGAGGTTAGGTAAACTGCCTAAGGCCACACAATGAGCAGGTGGTGGGTCTGGATACTGATGAGGCTTTGTAACCTCTTGCATGACGGCCTTCAAACGTTGTGGGCAATGGAGAGCTCTGGAAAAATTTGAAGGGGGGAGTGGCACGGCCAGGTCTGAGTTTCAGCTGTATCCCTCAGGGATGTCCTAGAGTAGAGGCTATCAGGATAGGGAGCAGAAAGGTCCGGAAAGTGGTAACTGTGAGGTTCAGAGAGCAGAAGACCAGGCTAGAGCAAGGGCAGGGCCTGTTGGAGTAGAGGAAAGGGCTTTAGAAATTCAAGAGGTGGAGTGTCCATAGTAGGGGGACAGGGTGTGCCCTTAGGGCTCTGTAGTGACAGCCCCTGGGCCAGAGAGATGCCCACCCAGCCCTCACGCCAGGCTCACTGGCTCCCAGCTGTCTGTCCAGGCTCCATGGGAAGTGCAGCTGTCAAGGTGGGAGGCCAGGGAGGCCCAGTGTCCCATAGGAACTTGAATTAGCGGCTATACACTTGAAATTCTAATGGCCTCAGAATCATATGGAGTTCAGGGCACCCACTGGCCGCACAGGCCTGTCACGGGCAGTCAAGCTGTGCCTGGCTGCACAGCTGCCCAAGAAGCCTCTGGGGAACAGGGTCCCCACAGTGGGAAGCTCCCTGACCAGTGGCCGGTGTTCTCTTCCAGTTCCGGACCTTTGACCCCTGCAAGCAGCTGTGGTGCAGCCACCCGGACAATCCCTACTTTTGCAAGACCAAGAAGGGGCCCCCCCTGGATGGGACCATGTGTGCACCTGGCAAGGTGAGTCAGGGCAGAGGGCAGGCCCCAGGACACGCTCAGATCTCCAGGGACAGGCCCTTCGGGACCCTTGGGGTGGGGCTGAGGGCCTTTGCTGCCTTCTTTCTAATAACCTCACATGTGACTCATTCCCCAGCTTCTGCCCTTGTGCTTCCCACACACTATTTGTTTTTTCGGATCAAACCTTGTGTCTCAGAGCACCCCACTGTGCTTCAATCCCCCTACTAAAGAACTTGCTCCTCTGAGGAGCAGTTTTGGGGTTCTGGCCGCCAGCAGTACCCTCAGCACACTGTGGGTGACTGGGTCACCTCACTTTGAGGCCAGCACTGGAGTCTGGGGCCTGGTCCCCAGGCCCAGCACCAGGCTTAGCCTCTGGGACCTCTGTATCTGCCCCTTAGTGGGCAGACTTGTCCCTCAAGGTCACTGTAGTCGCTTACAATCAGCTGCCATCCCACAGGCCAACTTCCCACCTCCAGCAAACTGGCAGAAAGACAGGCCTCTCTCTTCCAGTACTTTCTCTTCTGACTCCCTGCCTCATTCTCATTGGCTCCAATGAGGCCTCACACCTATTCTTCAGCCAGTCACTTGCTAGGGGGCTGGCCTGTGCAGATAAGCCTAAGCCTGGGTCCCAGCCCCCCAGGGCTCAACCCATAGAAGCTGTGCATACCTGCATCTGCCCTCTGGGGAGGAGCGTGGACTCCAGGGCAGGTCCTCCAGCCCAGGCCTGAAAAGTCCCCAAATAGGCTAGGCCTGAGGCTCCTCCAAGTAGGTCTTAAATTCTGCTTACTTTTATTTTGTCCATGGTGGAGTTTTTCAAAGCTACAGATTCCCAGGCCCACCCCTGCAGATTTTGGTTTGCAGTGAGGATCAGGAATTGTTTTTGTTATTTTTTAAATTACGGTGCTAAATAACATAAAGTGTGCTATTTTAGGCACTTTAACGTGTGCAATTTAGTAGTGTTTAGTTATATCACCACTGTATAGTTCCAGAACTTTTTCATTACCCCAAAAGAAGTCCCCATTAAGCAGTGACCATCCATTTCCTTCTTTTCTCCAGCCCCTGGCAACTACTAATACACACTCAGTCTGCATGGATTTTCCTATTCTGGAATTTCATGTAACTGGAATCATATACTAAGTGGCCTTTTGTGTCTGCTTTCACTCAGCATAGTGGCCTGTGTCAGTGCTTCATCCCTTTTTGTGGCTGAGTAATGTCCCATTGTCTGGATGGACCACACTGTGTTGAACTGTTTGTCCCTCAGTGGGCATTTGAGATGGCTCCACCTTTTGGCATTTGTCAGTGTGCCGCTGTGAACATTCACGAGCATGCTTTGTTTGAAGACCTAAGAACTGGTATTTTTAAGAGGTGCCCAGGTGATGTAACTATGCCCCCAGACTCAATGAGCTGTTGGAAGTTGGAGGTGGGACATTGGTAATAAACACCAGAAACCTAGTAATACCAGTACTAACCATGTAGCCCTCTAACCCCACAGGAGTGTGAGCAGCCATAACCCCAATGGGGACCTCAGTACACTCTGAGCTGGAGGATGCGAATAGCTCAGCATGGCTTCCTACCCCAGGCCACCCTTCCCAATGCACACTGGGCAGAGAGAAGGTGGACAGAGCAGGAGGCAGGCCCTGTACCCACAGGCACGGGCCGCTGGGAGAATGTAGGTCAAAGGATGCCTACACCCCCTTCTGATTGGCTCCCTCCTCCTGTGGGGTGGTGGGTTCTGGTGAGCAAGATGGGCAGATGTGGCCAAAAAACCCCACCTCACAGAAACCACTGACCCAGCCATGGCCCTTCATTCTTTTTAACTATAGGACGCTTTGTTAATTTAGCCCAGTAAATAAAGTTGCTATTTTTGTATTAAAAACACAAAGCTGTGCTGATTGAGGAGGCAGAGCTGGGGTTCAGCTCAACCTACCATAGTTCACAAGAGCACAGGTTGAAAAGGACCTAAACCAGGGATTCTTGGTGTGTGGAGTGGGGCTGGAGGGCCAAAGGGAGAGAGGAGGAGGGAGGGCACTCCTGGGGGCCTGTCAGAATCCTCCACTGTGTGTGTTTGCAGTTTCAATACCTTACTTATTACTGCAGTGTAATTTTACATTTGGAAGTTAGTCACCTCCCCCTTTCCTGCAAGCAAAGCCATCTGGGCAAAAAGAGAGGGGAGTGGGGAGGGAGCAGGGGGTGAAGTCTGGCCGGAGAAACAGCAGATCATCTTAGGCAGTGCTGAGCTCAGCTCTCCCTCTCCATCCCTCTTTGTTCCACCCATCCCTCGGGCTCTTCAGCAAGGTCACCCAGCGCTCAGGCTCTGGTCACAGCCTGGGATCTTCATTGTGCACACTCCCCAGTGGGCCATCCCAAGCACATTCTCCCCTCTCGGCCTGTCACATTATACCCCACTCACACACACTTCTGGCTGTGTGAGTGGCTATAGGTGCCTTGTGGCTTTGGCCAAGGAGAAATTGGATTTGGGATGTACTTATTGTCTTATTTACGTGATTCTAGGTATCTCTCATGCATCGTTAAATCACTGCATCTGTTCAGGTGTAAGAATAACTTCCAGAAAAACTCCTGTGGCCACTGTGCCAACTCACCCACGGCCATTGCAGAATATGTGCTCTGTGCAGCCCATTCTCCTGAAATCAATGGAGAAAAGCTGCCGCAACTGTAACTGAGATCATGACTGCTTCTATACTTGCAATAGTCTGGGTTTTCTTTGGGGGTTTGTCTTGTCGATGGGACACTTTAAACACAGACCCAACTTGGATATTCCTTTAGAAAGGCTCAGTGTGATAGCAACGGCGGGTAAGCTACAACACACAGACCAATCCCACCCACCTCCTGGGGTTTTTTCCCTAACAGCTTATTAAGATGGGATTCACTTTTAAATTCACCCATTTAAAGGGTACAATTCAGTGATTTTCAGAATAGTCACAGAATTGTACGACCATCACAATAAAATTTTAGAACATTTTTGTCACTCCAAAAAGAAGCCCTATACCCATTAGCAGTCACTCCCATTCATCCACCCTCACCCCAGTACTAGGCAATCACAAACCTACTTTCAATCTCCACAGATTCCCCTCTTCTGGGCATTTTGTGTAAATGGGATCATACAATGTGTGTCCTTTTGTGCTGGCTTAATTCAATTAGCAAAATGTTTTCAAGGTTCATCCATGTTGTAACATGTATCAGTACTTCATTCCTTTTTTTATTGTTGAATAATAATCCATTGTATAGATATACTGTGTTTTATTTATCCATTTATTGGCTGATGGGCATTTGAGTTGTTTCTACTTTTCAGATATTATGAGAAATGCTTCTATGAACATTGTGTACAAGTTATTGAACGGATGGGTCCTTTTTCTTGGACATGCACCTAGGAGTGGAATTGTTAGCTCTTATGGGAACTATGTTTAACATTGAGAAATTGCCAGGCTTTTTTCCAAAGCAGCTGAACTGTTTTACATTGCAACTAGCGATATATAAGGATTCCAACTTCTCCACATCCTCTCCAAAACTTGATATTCTCTGTGTTTGTATTATAACCATCCCAAAATGCAAAGTGTTATCTCATTGTGGTTTTGATTTGTATTTCCATAGTGACCTGTGATCTTAAGAATCTTTTCATGTCCTTAATGGCAATTTGTATATATCTTTTTTTGGTAAATGTCTATTCATATTCCTTCCTTACTTTTTAATTGAATTTTTTTATTATTGAGTTATAAGAGTTCTTTATATGCAAGAACAAGTATACGGGTTCCTATCAGGTTTACCATACATATGGTATGCAAATATCTTTTCCCATTCTGTGGGTTGTCTTTTCACTTTCATGATGGTATCATTTAATGCACAAAAGTTTTCCATTTTGATAAAGTCCAATTTCAGTATTTTTCTTTTGTTGCCTGTCCTTTTGTTACTCGTGCTAAAAACCATTGCCGGAAAGTTTACTACCTATGTTTTCCTCTAGGAGTTTTATGGTTTTGAATCTTACATTTGTCTTTAATCCGTTTTAGTTTATTCTTGTATATGGTGTAAGAAGGTGGTCTGGTTTCATTTTTGCCTGTACCTGTCCAATTTTCCCAACACCATTTATTGAAAAGACTGCCTTTATCCCATGGTATATTCTTGCCTCCTTTGTTATATATTAATTGACCATATAGGGGTGGGATTATTTCTGGGCTCTCTATTCTGTTCCATTGATCTATGTATCTGTTTTTATACCATTACCATGCCGTTTTGTTTACTGTGGCCTTGTAGTATAGTTTGATATCAGGTAGTGTGATACCTCCAATTTTGTTCTTCTTTCTCAAGATTGTTGTGGCTATTTGGAGTCTTTTTGTGGTTCCATATAAATTTTTGGATTATTTGTTTTAATTCTGTGAAAAATGCCTTTGGAATTTTTATAAAGATTGCATTGAATCTATAGATTGCTTTGGTTAATATGGACATTTTAATTATGTTAATTCTTCCTATACGTGAGCACAGTATGTGCTTCCATTTTTTGTATCTTCTTCGGTTTCTTTCTTCAGTGTCTTATAATTTTTCAAATACAGGTCTTCTACTTCTTATGTTAAATTTATTCCTAGATATTTTTTATGCAGTTGTAAATGGGATTATTTTATAATTTCTCTTTCTGATATTTCATTATTGGTATATAAAAATGCAATCAATTTCTTTTTTTAAAAGAATTTTTTTTTTTTTTTGGAGAGGAAGGGACAGGGAGAGAGAGAAACATCAATGTGAGAGCAAAACAGTGATCGGCTGCCTCCTGCATGCACCCTGACCAGGGATCGGACCTGCAACTCAGGCATAGGCCCTGACCTGGAATCGAACCAGCAACCTTTTGGTGCATAGGACAACTCTCAACCAAGTGAGCCACACTGACCAGGGCTGCAATAAATTTCTGAATATTAATTTTGTATCCTGCTATTTTACTGAACTCATTTATCAGTTCTAGTAGTTTTTTGGTGGGCTTTTTAGGGTTCTCTCAATATAGTATGTCATCTGCAGATAATGACAGTTTTACTTCTTCCTTTCCAATTTGGATGATTTTAATTTCTTCTTCTTGTCTGATTGCTATAACTAGGATTTCCAGTACTATGTTGAATAAGAGTGGTAAAAGTGGACAACCTTGTCTTATTCCTGATTTTAAGATGTTTTTCACTTTTTCCCATTGACTATGATGTTAGCTATGGATTTGTCATACATGCCTTTTTATTATGTTGAGATACGTTCCCTCTGTTCTCACTTTGTTGAGAGTTTTTATCACTATGCTGGATTTTGTCACATGCTTCTTCTGTATCTATTGATATGACCACATGATTTTTATCCTTCGTTTTATTTATGTGGTGTAACATATTAATTGATTTGCGGATATTGAACTAACATTGCATTCCAGGAATAAATCCCACTTGATCATGGTGTATGATCTTTTTAATGTATTGCTGCATTTGGGGGGTTTTTAGGTTTCCCTGTGTGGGCGTGCCAGTGGCTTCACCCTAGAGACATGGTGTGGGGCAGGCTCTGGCTGGGGAAAGGGAGTAGGCTGGACAAGGCGCCGAGGATGGTGGGAGGCCAGAGCAGTGGTGGGGAAGCTAAGTGGGCTGACACCTCACTAGGCCTCCTGAAGGTCTTAGAGCTTCTAGGAGTGAGTTGGCCTGCCTTTCCATGTGCCTCCAGGACTAGGCAGTCCTCACAGGCACAGCAAGTTGAAGGGAGGGCGGGGGCTATGGGTCAAGGGAATGATCTTCTGTCTTTCAGCACTGCTTTAAGGGACACTGCATCTGGCTGACACCTGACATCCTCAAACGAGATGGCAACTGGGGTGCCTGGAGTCCATTTGGCTCCTGCTCACGCACCTGTGGCACAGGTGTTAAGTTCAGGACCCGTCAGTGTGACAATCCACAGTAAGTTGGCCCTGGCGTTTCCCAGCTCTCCTGGGTCACAGCTGTGGTCCCTGAGGCCCCTTCTTATCCTGTAAGGCCCCTGTGGCTGTATGCCAGTTCAGGAAAGGGTGCAAGGCAGCCCCTTCCTCTCTTCAGCCTCCCTGGGAGGAAGCTGAGACTCAGAGAGGGAAGCCTCGTGGCCCAGGTTGCACAGCCTGGGGGGGCAGAGCTGGCTCTGGAGCCCTGAAAACCTGGTCTCTTGACCTGCTGACCCAGGGCCATCCCCCTACAGATCCTGCACCCTCCTCTAGACACTGGCTTACTCTGCCCTTCTTGGTCAAAGGCATCAAGGACATAAGGTGAAACAGAGAGAAGGAATTAAGATTAAGAAGGAGGAGGGCTTTCTTGATCCGCAGGATGACGGGAACCTGAGCAGGGGAGCAGCTGTTTGCAGTTAGGCAAGGGGCAGGGGCAGCAACGTGCTACCTGAACCCAGCTACCCAGGGGAGAGACAGCCTGGGGAGCAGCCCCCATGCCCACTGGACTCCCATCACCAACCACGCTCCACCTCCTGCGTCCCAGGCATGAGGCCTGCTGTGCTGTCGTCCTCCCTAGCCCCACGCTTGGGAAGAACCTGTGCAACAAGACTCCGCTATTTTGAGTTCCCACCCTGTGTCAGGCACAGGCCCACACCCTGATGTAGAGGAGACACCACAGGGCCTCAAGGGAGGGTTACCCGCCCTCTACACTTGATGCCCTGGCGCCTGGGAGGCTGAGGGACTGCATTGTCTTGCAGCCAGGACAGGCAGGGCTGGGTCCATTCAGTCAGCAGAGCTGATCACACCTGAGACTCAAGGATCCCCCTAACTCCACAAGTGGAGTGCCGAGTACTGGCGTCTTCCTGGCAGCACCAAGCGGCAAGTCCTTCGCTTTCTCTTCCAGCCCGGCCAATGGGGGCCGCACCTGTTCAGGTCTTGCCTACGATTTCCAGCTCTGCAACTCCCAGGACTGTCCTGACACCCTGGCTGACTTCCGTGAGGAACAGTGCCGACAGTGGGACCTGTACTTCGAGCATGGTGACGCCCAGCACCACTGGCTGCCTCACGAGCACCGGGATGGTGAGGCTCTGAGTGGAGGGAAGAGTGAGGCTCCGGGCAGGGTGGGTGGGCTGGGGCTCA